CGACCGAGTATGTCACCTGAGACGTTGATAGTACGGCTCGCGTGAACTTCGCTATGCTCGTGTAATATCTTGCGCGATAATTATAATAACGATTCCGAACGACACGTTATGTTTGATTGATTCCCGACTCTATCTATTCCGCCTTGTGTAACCGGTTATATAGTCTGATCGATGCCTGGTCAGCATTCTGATCGATTGCGTCGATCGGTTGCGTGATATTGATTAATCAATATTACGCTCGATTTGATCATCAAATTTAGGAATTTGCTGATAGGCTTTTTCGCAATGTTCTCGCGATGCATTTCTGCGGTCTTTCGAAAGAGTGGTCTCAATTTCGGCGGTCACACATTTGTGTCATCTTTCGAAAGACTTTTCGAGGTTCATGCGACCTAATTTTGTTGCCATGCGGACTACTTTTATTATTGGTTGTAGACCTGGCTACAACAGTATCTGTCAATTTCGACGCATGCGCAGAAACGAGTATTACTCGTATATCTTTCTCTTTCGCATATACTTTGGACACTTTTGGTGCCAATATTTCCCCTCCATGTCTATATACTCAAAGAATTATACACGCTAAACATCATGTTGGTCTCTTGCCTTACTAAAAAGTCAATACTAAAAATGTAAAAAATGTTAAAAAATATTTGCTGCATAGACATACATAGGGAACACTTTTATTTTCTATCCTTTGCTATGTGTTGAAAGTTGTAAACCGATGTGGAATCATACGTTTTGCAAAGTACGTATAAAGTAAATATAATTTAAGCATAATTTTATCCATTTTCGCGCTGAGGAGGGCTAAACTGAATAATTACCATAAATATTTTGTGAGATATACCTTATAAAGTTATTTTTACCAATTTTTTTTGTTAAATATACGTGCTATGTCAATTTGATGCTGGTTCACACCTGGCCAATTGTTTATAATTTTGAGTTTGAACAATTGTTTATGCGAAATTGCCATGACATGGTGCATTATAAGATAAAGTTTATGCTGCCATTTAATAGCGCTCCCAAAATATCGATTAGCTCCTCGAATTTGTAATAACAGTACAAAAAATAAACGATCACCCAGAACCATGGAAATCTACGATGTCTTGAAGAATTTCTGTCGTAAAAAATAGCAACAGCATTGCTATAAGCATCTTCGTTCTGATTGCTTGTCAGATTTATTTGTCCTCTGCAGGTATTTATCCTCTTTATTATGAAGTGAAAATCCATCGCAATTTTCGAGATCCGAGATAATATTGATTTAACGATCTTTACAGCGTAATGATTGGAGCTTTTCAAAATCTCTTTGTTGTTCTAAATAAAAAGGGATAAGTATCAAAACGCAATACATATTTATATTATACGTAATATACGGTAATACATATAATGATCAAAAAAATAATTTATCTTTTTCGCTTTATCTGTAAAGAACTTTTGTCAGCCAGCGAATAATAACAGTGAGAAGACATAGTAGAAACGACTTAACGACTATACCGAGTACTCAGAAATTTAATCAATATAGAAAATTTTTGTTAATAGAATAATTGGTGTCTACGTGATACAATCTTTAGGTTTGTTCTTTTCCTCTGCACTGGGATTGTACTAGTACTGTATTGGAACTGGTGGAGGACAACATAAATTTCACAAGTGCAAATGTACGGATAGAGATGAAAAAAACGCTACAGAACAATAATCAACATGGCGCATTATATCATTGTAATTATCGAAAAATTATTTGAGTTTTCAGATGAAGAAAAAGAAATTTTTATTATATTATTATTATATCACCATTAGAACCACCTGTTTTAGATAATAAAGATGCTTTAGATGGTACATTATATATTGTGAATTTGATTTGTATTAACAATATAAAATCTTAATAATAATATATGTTATTACACACACACACACACACACACACACACACACACACACACACACACACACACACACACACACACACACACGTACGTC